TTTCAGCCACCTCTTCACGCCCAGTTGGGGGGTGTCGATTTAGATTGCTACAACCGTTAGATTTTGTTTTATTTGCATAACTAGAGTGATACTTAGAAATTGTGCTGCAGATGAACCTGCCCAGATTTTGCTCTTGTGTAGCTTACCTGCTAGTCCCTATTCATTCTATTTTCACCTTGGTTTCTGGTCCATACTCTCGGAGACTGTAGCAGTTGTCGTTTTATTGAGATAAGACGGACTATCCTGTTGAAAAATGGCAGCGAAATGCCACTGTGCCATAATTATCGATCGTAAGCAGGCGGTCTTTGCAATTGTTGGTGGTCCTACCCCACATAACTCTTATGCTGACCAGAGTAGGCGTGGATTGAACATGGCATGGAACTGGTTACTCGTGGAATATTCCAGTCTGGGACAACTGTCATCTTGTTCTGTGTTGGACAGAGACACGACAACAATTGTGTCAAGATGAAAATATTCACCAGAAGCATAGACTCCTTCAGGTAAGTTGAAACATGCAGCCACGTCTACTCGATCTCAGGGATTTCGTGTATACTTGGTTTCTTGTGGATGGGCACATTACAACCCCGGTCTCAAAGAAACTAGGGTATGGTTGGTTTACTTAGAGCTTGTAGTTGGAGTGTCTCGTTCGCTTTCTGGTCAAGAGAAACTGGATATTGAAGAATTTTCAGGTATCGAATTCTACGATATTCCGAAGTGCAGATTGTAAATGTGTGATGGAATGTGAGAAGTACAGTTTTTAAGCCATGCCGTACAAACGTCCTCACGGTCAAGGCTTCAGCAATGGTGCTTTAACATGGCTGCAAAAGAAGAACTCCTCGTGGACTAAGGCACACATGAAGTATGTTTGTGGCTGGGAAAACTTATCAAAATAGGGGTTCTCCTACTCCTAACGAAATGTGGAACCTCTGCATTCAAGAGTCCGCAGCAAATCATTTCATTCTGAGAGAAGCCCATCCGAATACATGACTAAGCCGTAACGTGTAGCGGTTTTTTTGATTTTGCATCAGAATATGCAATTTGACGTTTTGTACCAGCGATGAACTTTTATTTTGATTTTTGGACCGCGTATTTACGATGAGAATTAATTTTCCAGAATATGCTATAGAATACTCACACTGTGCGGAATCGAAGTTTTTTCGTATGCTGTCTTGCATAAACCATTTTTCACTTAAAACAAACACTTTTCACACCAAAACGACACTCTTGAAACCAAATGGCACACTTATCGGACGCCTTTCGGATCAAAATCGGACACTTCTTTTTCATAAATCGTACCATTCCGGTCAATTCGGAACACATCTTTTACAGTGGGCAGTTGATTAACTAGATCATATTAGGTACAGTCCTCATCATTACAGACTGTCGGGGCGGCAAAGCCGCGTTGCAATGTGACGCGACAGCGGCTGCGACTCGGTGACGGTGAATCAGCTAATTTCCATAGAATTCGGCTGCGAATTCCCACTTTTCAGTCTCTTCAAGCTTCGAAAGTGGAAGGTGAGTATTTTGAACAATTTTAAATTGTACTGACTCTGAATGAATCTGAAAGAATGTAAGCCATTTGAATAAATGCCTGAAATAAGGCAAAATACAAGGAAAAGAGCATAATAATCGACATAAAAATAAAGGAAATCAGAGCCAGTACAATTCAAAATTGTTCAGAATAACTCACCTTCCACTTTAGAAGCTTGAAGAGCTGAAAAAGTGGGAATTTGCAGCCGAATTCCATCGAAATCAGCTGATTCACCGTCACCGAGCCGCAGCCGCTGTCGCGTCACAGTGCAGCGCGGCTGTGCCGCCCCGACAGTCCGTAATGATGAGGACTGTACTCAGGGTACAGTATGAAGATGTGCGAGATGGCAGTGTCGGTACGACTCCCCTCCTCCAGCCACGCCCCCTTCCCCTTCCTGCTGTGTTGCACGTCCTTAGAGCTGCTCGTGCGCAAGGACTGTCTTAAAGTAAGGACCTGGCAGCCTTTCCAGAAGTTTTCCTGACCTGCTCCTTTTGTGCTAGCAAAGCGAATGCGTTAGTGGTAGATCGCGAGCAGGTTCATGCTTCAGACAAGAATAACTTCTTTCAGTCGTAATCCTTTGCAAAACTAAAAACGTCATCAGAACGCGCAATGCTTCCCTTTCCCAAAGCCTGGTTTTCTGGAAGCTCGCTAGTTTGGAAGATACCGTGTATGGGCCATCTTCGAGCAAAATTTTGAGCCACTCTAAAGCTCGTACTCCCCCTGTGCCATTGTAAGGATATTAATTCGGGAACTTCAGCATGCCTCCACAACATATATATACCGTTGAACTGAGTCAAAGCAAAGTGGTTATCATCGATCGATTTAGTTTGAGTGTGCGCCGTGCATTACGCTTCTACGCAGAGGTGGTGGAAAGGTGTACCTTCTGCTTTAGGTGATGCAAGCAGATGTTTGTTTAGGGTTTGGAAAGGACAATACGCACGAATCTGTTTGAGACGTATTATTTAGTCATCTACGTACTTACGAGTTCATGCCAACTATTGATGTTGGTAATTAATTATTTCTATATTTAGTAGTCTCTCCCAAAAACTAATGGGATCATAGATATGCATCTACACACTGGCACACCAAGCACAGCCCCTCTGACATGCCCCTTTTGCGTCTTGTTTTGGAGAATTTCGATCTCTTCCTCCGAAATTTTCCCCTTTTCAGGCTGTGACAGGCAGCTCCGCTCACTTTTTGAAAATGATTCCAGATGGCAGACTGAAGGTTGGCAGGCCATGGACCTCCCCGTCAGTCAGAACGAAAACTAGGAAAAGTTTGCTCTGGGTGGCCGGCGATACCATAACCTGCCAGACTGGGCACCATCCTCGGATCTGGTCATGTGTGCAGAGTGGCGGCTTTCTCGCAAAGCAGGCAGAGATTATATTAGTGGGCGGAGCTACCTGTCAAACCCGAAAAGGGCGTAACTTTTGAGGGGAAGATTCAATACCTCAAAAGTTAGCGGGCGTGGTCAGAGGAGCAGAGCTTGGTGTGCTATTGCATAGATGCATCGCAGTATTTATATTCGTTTTGTGAAGGACGATGTGAAAAATCACGTCGAAAAAAGTCACAAAAATTCAAATCTTGAGATAACTTCATTAAAAAGTGGTTGAATCGTCGCACCTACGTTGGTACCAATTTTTTTCCAGTTAGTGTGTGGGTAATAGCAAAAGCGAAAAAAAAATCAAAGGAACAGGTTTCATAAAATGTTGTGAAGAACCATGCCACTTTCTGATGAAGTTATCGCATGCGGGGTGCTGGGGTGCGCTTCCAGCAGTGCTGAGTGTGGTCTAGTTAATCCACTGTTCAGTGCAAGACATTTTCCGATTTGATTTAACAAGTGTTCGTTTTTTTCGTCAGATTTGGTTTGCAAGGTGTCCGATTTGAAGCGAGGATGGTGTACATGGCACCAACTTCCGCGTCTGCGGGAGGTTCATTTTGTTTGAAGATTTCTGGGTTAGCCTGCACGAAAACATGGTGGCTTCCACAGGACTCTTTACACGCCGCCGGCACCGCGACCTTCCTCACTACCGTGCGTCACTGAGACATCTTAAAATAAAAATCTGTGAACTTCCACTTTTGATTCCAAGCTTGGACCAGTTTCAAACAATAGTCATGTTCCTCTGGGTTTCTTCAGCGATCGGCTATCTTATATAATCATGGCTGATGAGAACTGGGTGATACATTTATTATATTCACCATCCTGTACGCTGAAGTGGCATTGCCCCAACCATCCGGGAGTTCCAACAGCTGAAATTCAATTTCATCCAAGAAGGGAGGTCTTGAGTTCTGGTGGAGTAGGCTGTAATGGGAGCTAATACTATCAAGTTAAACAAGAGGATGAACAGGAGACAGAATGCGTTATTTTACTGAATTCCATCCGAGCAATTACCATCCGAGAAAGGTTTACCAGATTTTGATATTTTTTTAAAAATTCTTGCTTCCGGGAATGCTTCTCCTTTTAGCCACCCACAGGTGGTCTCTTTCGCGTTTCGAACTTCTATTGCATTCGCAACGTTTGCATGGGGAAGCCACAAAAACAAGAAACCACTTTTGGATCATTTTGATGAACGTTACATTCTAGCGTCAAGTGAACTCGATCTTTTCAAGATCCCAAGATTTCTGTTTGTGGGTTTAAAAACAAACACCTCTCTTTCATAATACCTCGACAACGCCCTCTCTTTCACAATGCCTCGATAACGCTTGATAACGACGACCTGTTTCCTATGTGAGCCAAGAACGTAGCCACCAACACTGGGGCTCTACGATTACACATGGGTATAGCCAGATTCTGTTTGTAATTCAAGTTGTAAAGCAGAATATAGCCCTGATCTCTGCAAACATCGAAGCGGGTGAAGAACGACGAGTTCTAACATAGAAAGAACAGCCTTTCCCACAACCGGACGACATCTTCGGTGGAAGAGCCGTGGATGGCAGCGCGCCACTCTCGCAATCCCCGTAAATGCCCCTTACAGAACTCTATGCCAAACTGAGATTGTACGTGCGAAGGCTGAAATTGAACGTAGCGCACAATTTCTTACTTGTTGGTATGGGCTGTTTTCCATCATCACCTCACTTTTCACAGTTCGGAATGGAGAGTGCTAGTAGCGGATCAACCGCACCATCAGGCGGTCATTAGAAATGAAAGGTGCGCGGTGCTCATGATAGTGGTTAGGGCCCCTGAGAAGCACAACGACATCGTTGGCACTCTCATTCGTTTTTGCGCCGCAAAAGTAGTGCAATCGCTGCCTCTGCGGACTTGATTACCTGGTCACAAAGGGAGAGAGGAACTTCAGCTGATCGCGGGCAGCGCTTTAAGTGCCACTCAAATGAGTCCCTTTAGTTCTTCTACAAACTTCCACTTAGCACTCAAAGCGGCCCAGGGATGACCACAAGATCCTTATCAAATTCAGCAAGCTTCATATTATCAAAGGGAACGCTGTTCAACGGATTATTCCAAGAAGCGCCAATGAATAGGTTAGCGTGACGTGATGGATTACAATGAAGGTAGTGTCACAAATGTCGGAAAAAATGAAAAAAATGACTGAGAAAACGGCTTTTACGTGTTTGCAGCAAGGTTGGGGACAGGCCTGTTGCTCACCCATAGTGGTTTTCTTTGATTTGTCGTTACGTCAGCTTCTTTGAGTTATTTAGGACTAATTTCCTGGCGATCAATGTGTTCTTTCGCGACATGTCCTACACCGAATACGTTCAGAAGCAAGGAACGTCACTCACAGAAACACTCAGTATGTTCCTAGAGTTCCTGTTACGGATTTATCGTTGGATGTAGGCGTAACGGAATCTATCACCGAGATGAGATAATTATAATAATTCAATTTTACTCGTAATGAGACTCGTTTTCTATGTACAGTACGGAGAGCAGTTCATCGTGTGTCTCTCTAGGTTTTCAGATGGAAAACATTGTTTAACAGCCTAGCGTTCCGACGTGGTCGTCTTCTTCAGAGGCCTAAACGTATTTCTTGGTTACAAGGTGAACACTACCTCACTAACCAAAGAGGTCGCTCAGGGCGTGGTGCGCTTTTCAAGAACGATTTTTTGCATATTGTAGGGGCTCATGCAAGAACTTGAGAGCTTCATTTTCGCTGCGCGCTTCCAGGAAAGGTAAAAAGTAGGAGTGGAAAAGAATCTGTGGAATCTGCTTCGTTCTGGGCCTCTATGCGGCGTAGGTCACTTGCAAATTTGATTAGTTGCTGAGTGGTGGGCCCATATAAAGGGACTACTGAAAGAGAAATGAAAAAATTGTCGCAAATGGGTGTCCAACTTGGGTCGCATGCTTAAGAGGGAGCGGCTCCTTTTGTTGGTTTCTTCAACCATGAGAGGCATGGTCCCAAAAGCAAGAAATTTAGAAAAGCAAAATTTTTGTCCGATCCGAGACATCGACCTAGTTTTCATGTTCTTTTCATACCAGAAGCGCGCAGCGAAATGAATCTCAGATTTCTTGTCCTCGTATCTACCCCTCAATATGCGAAAAAACTGTTTTCGAAAACGCACTACGCCCCGAACCACCTCCATTGTGGGCGTCCAATCAACCCCAGCAGTTCCGATGAAGTGTTTGGAACACAACGAGAAAGTCTTGCACAACATGAAAAGTACACTTATCAGGTCCCACCTTGCATTCCGACAAAGAGCGCTCTGCTCAGCTAGGGCATCATGGACACCTCATTAAAATCTTGTGAATTGACCTTTTAGGTGACATCGGTGGAAACATGGGCATGTTCCTAGGAATGAGCCTTATTACGATGATTGAGGTGATTATGTATTTTTCAAAAGTCGGTTGGATAGCATTTTCGAAGAAAAGGAGAGACTACATGTACCGTAAGAAGAAGCAAGAAAAGGTAAATCATGCTGATTACTTAGGGAGCGACTTGGAAGAATCTACAAAGTAGTTTCAGGCCACGTTGAATTCAGAAAGTAGCTTGACATTATAGTTTTCATAATTAATGCTATTTCCAATTTCAGGAGCATGAGAAGCAGTTGGAGGAAACTGTGAGTAGCTTCAAGATGTTTCGAAATCGCAAAATAGGCACATCTGACGACAATGCTGTGAATACGGGAATTCGTTCGCTGGGACTAGGAATGGTCACCCCACTTCAGTGTGACACATCAGTTTCGGTAAGAACTACATGGTCCTGTGTTCAAATATTAAAATATTCTTCCGTGCTAATATGCTCGTGCTAGACAACTTATAGTGCGATATACAATATAAGGAACAAGTCAACGAAAAGACCGGCTGGTTTTTGCTTTCAAATACGACCAGCGAAACTAACTTTATTAAGGTTTCCGTTGTGGTGCACAAATGCACACTAGGAAAGACGGGTGTGTGACAAGAGAATCGTAATTCACCGCGCTGGTGGGCGTCGCGTGCGACGTCGCGCCCGCAAATGACGATGGTTCCAGGTAGTAGATGGCGACAACAGGCAATTCAGAACCGAAAATAGTCATGAATGTCTACGATGACGGGGTCTACATGAAGTCCGGTGCTCCAATCGACAGGTTAACACGAGTTAAGAAAACGCCGCGCCCATCGCCGCGCGCGGCGGAGCGGCAAATTACGATTCTCTTGCCCGTCTTCCACGGAACACCACGCCACGTGTACTATTTGCCTATATATTGAGATCTAATTACTAGAATTCCCATGAAGCGCAGCACTCCAAAACGTTGCATATATGAGAAAAATGTGGATTATTCGAAAATTCGGATGAATAATAATATTTTGGACAAAAGTATTTTCTGAATTATGGGTGCTCCAAGGTTTGGAACTGTTGAGGATTTTATTCCCATTGGGCAATCTGAGCACGACAAAACCGTAAAAAGAGACTTTCGCTTGCCTATCTATTCGTCAGAGGGCTATCTACAGTCCTCATCATTGCGGACTGTCGGAGGGCGGCTGTGCAACGCGGTCCAAATGGGCGTTCGGCCTCGTTGCTCTACCAATGGCGATCGGGTAAAGATCGATTTAGGGAGGGAGCAACCAATGATGGAAACGCCGCAGGTGCGAGCCGCTGATTGCGACCCGACAATTGCGGTGATGTAAAGTGTACGTAGCACCTTCGGGATTCGAACTCCATTTTAGAGGAGTTCTTGGATGAAGCACTAGAAATCTTGCTCAACACGGAGAGCATATTTGCCATAGACAAAAAGTTGTTTAAAGAATCAAATTTCTCCTGGATACACTGGCTCTAACCCTATGAATAGAAGACTGTTGCAGGCCATCTCACTTTCTGCACTTCTTTGTTCAGTATGCGGTGTCTGCTCGGGGCTCTGCGACCATTTACCTGGGGTATTACACTCTCCAGGAGGCTGCGGACGTATCCACGATCTAGGTAATAAATAAACAAACAGTGTGATTGCTTGCGTAGCCTGCGAGAGTAGCCTGCGGGAGTTGGAAAAACAAGCTGGCTTATTTTGCGATGAAAAAATATACAGAAAACTACAGAAAAATATTGCAGCAGGAGCGATCTAGAAAACTTTTCACCGTGGTAGAATAAAAGCGGCTGTCGTAGGTAGTACTGGCAGTCGGAAATTTGGGGGAACAAGTTGTAGCCTTGCAGAATAGAGTAATTCTGGCCATAGACTTGCATTCGGTATGCTCGCAATCAGAAATTCTTTGCGGTGCAAACCGTTTCTAGGGGCCCAAAACGACACTGATCATGCGTATGAAATGGAGAGGTTTGGCCAAAACCAATGAATGAGCGAGTGTAAGGCTGTTCCTCAGATCGAAAACTATCTTTACACACTTTTCTCTCACAGCATTTGCAAGTTCGAAAGTGCTTTGGAGGGATTGCTAAGATATGAAGCGGACTGCGAGCACTTGGTCCATTGTCAACTTTTAATCCGTCTTACTACGCGTCGTCTAAAGCATGCATCGCCTTTTGCGTTCGAATCACTTCTCTCACTGAACCAGGGCTCGTTGGTTGGGGATTGTTGCAACAGGGGGGGGGGGTCGTACTTTGTTCGCTGGGAGAGGAATTGTATTCGCTCCTGGGCCTTTCTTGAGAGAGAGAGGTTGTTGAGTTTCTTTCACCCGCCCCCATCTCTACCCCCGCTCCACAGTTCGATGGAGAGGGAACCAAAGGAGGGAGGGGTCGTACGGATGTACGGCTTGACCGAAACCCCCAACCTATGGTGGGTCTGCCTAAACCCACTACTTCAACTATGTTCCGCACATTGCTATGTGGTTCATCTTCTTGAAACTGGAACTGCTATACCTTCATACCTGCAACGGTAAGACTAAACATACAATTCGTACTGTTATTGAAACGACGTCTCTGGAATGACAAATCTTACCGAGTAGCAATCAGGAAATGCAAACAGCTAGAAAGGTCGTGGTTTCTGCGGCGTCTTCACGAAATTCCTGAATATCGTGTAACAAACCGGCTTAACAATATTAGTTCACCTCCAGACGCGTCGCATGGCAAAGTTCACCGTTAGAAAATACAGAGCACTGCTAATATGGAGCTGAAGCGATTCGAAGTTGCTGCTAACAAATCGCTGAACACGGGTACTTTACCAGAATCCTTTCATATCCATGATTTTCCAGGAAACAAAACCTGTCTCAGCTTCAAGTCGTGAAAGTGAAACTGCAGAGCGCAGATACCGTTTCCTGAACAGCGATACTGGGGTTTGTTTATTTTATTCAAATTTCAATTAAGATGATGTATTAGGTTGGTGGGAAAGCTCTGTGATACTTTTCTAAGCTCAAAATGCTTGCCTATTACCTGAAGAGGCGTAACCTATACTGTGAGCAGTTATATTAGGTTGGCGGGAAAGTTCTGCCACTTTTTCAAATTGGGCTTTCTTTTTAGAGAGGCGTGTAAGATCAAAATTGTACAGCAATGTTACTGCGGGGTCCTTGCCTGTTTTTGAGCACCTCATGGATGCCATCGCTTCACAATGCAGGGAGGCGCGATACAAAATTGGACATCATCTCAATCTTGGCTTGACT